AATGTGGGACTCAATCTCACAACTCTGAGATCATGACCTGAGCCAAAATCAAGAGTCGGGTACTTCACTGACTGAGCCACCTGAGTGCCCCAGGGTGGCTTAGAATTTTTTAAAGATCCTCAGGTTATTCAAATGTACATCTGAGGTTTCGTACTTTATCTCTAGGTAGAGCTTTGCAGTAATAACAAGCAGAGAAGAAGATTCATACTTTAAAATTAATAAATTGAACACACGGGGGGGTCTCATGTCACCCAAATCTTCTACTTATTCATGAAACAAAGAAGATCCTTGGTTAGCTGCAATCATGCACCCAGGAGCCTGATCCAGACAGTTCCCAAATGCAGCCTGTCCATCACATATATGCTGGCTACACTCTGCTCTACACTCTGGCATATCTTTAGTGCCTTCAAAGTCCAGGACGATTTCTCAGGCAGAAAGAGAACTTGGTGTAGAGTTTAGCAAAGCACAGAAGTAAAATGGAAGCCAGGGTAACCTAGGACCTATGTGCCATCCTATATAAGTGGCTGTACAAAATGAGGCCTCTGGAAGTAGTAGATTTTCACCTCTAACCTTGCCTGCAATTAGAGAGAAGATCCACCAGGCTCCTCAGTTGGGCTTGCTGGGAAAGCAGAAGCTTCCTCTGCTATAGGCTATTTTAGGGAAGTAGGTAGTAGTGAAAGAAGGGTGAGGTTTGGAATCCTTAGAGAAATCCTGCTGTGCCCCTTGTAAATTAGTTAACTTATTAGAGTTCCAGTTTCTTCATCTGTTTATAAAAAATGGAGATTAAACAAGATGACAAACATGCAAATTCTTAGCATGTTGCCAACCACATAGATGCTCAGGAAATGTTTGTTTCCCTTCCCTTTCCCAGAAAAGGGAAGGAGTGGCAGGGGTGTGATCGGTCAGCTGTCCGAGTCTCCTCTGTGACCCCCTAGAACCACCAGGGTCCCAGTGACTCAGTGTCTGCGTCTTTTAGAGCTATTGCTAATTAAGAACAGAGTAAGATTTACATGTTAAATATTTCTCTGAAAATTCCCTAGCTGAGGCTGTAGCAAACTTGTGGCTTAACCCACTTTCAATTATAATCTACATTCCCAGTACATAACTTAGAACTTCAAATAACAGAACAGAAAGTTTATTTTAATTCTATAATTGTTAATGTAAAAAATAATACGACAGTCTTGTGATCCTATTTCTTCACAGGGAAGACAGTGCCTCGCAGGCTGTTCCCATTCCCATGAGTGGTTAGGCTTTCTTCTGGGCTTTCATTTTTACATTCAGGTTCACATTTCTCCATTCTCTAACAGAGTCTAGGGTTGAATTTCTAAAAGAAAGAAGAAAAGGAAGTAGAGGGAAAAATAAACTGTTTTCTTAAAAAAAGAAATGGTTCCATCTCTTAAATGCCCCCAGCCCACATGAATAACCACATGATCCCTACATTCCCAGCCCAGAAATCTGAACAAAAATTAAACCAGGACTCTTGGGATAGCCACATAGGTTTCATGTATTTGCATATATTTGCATACACTTAGAAGTAAACATGCACAATGAACTAATTACAGTGCTCAGTGGTAATTACGATCAACCCCAGGATTAAAAACTGGCCTGTGGGTAACAGGTGACATGAACACAGGACAGCCATGCTGCTGGCCAGAAGCAGCTACTGCTCTGCAGAGGACAAGAATCCCGGTGCAACAGAGACCTAGCATCCTCCCTTGATCCCTTGGCCTTCCCAACTTTTCCCTTTCCACCCCCTCCAGATCCAGATCTAACTGCCTTTCCTGCTTCTCCCTTCAGATCCAGGGGAAGCCATGGCTCAGTGACTCCCTCCTGAAAGCACTGAGTTAAGGCAGGCCTGAGCCCTACAGGAGTCTCTGGCTGCAGGGAGCTCCCCAGTGTGGAAAGAGGGGGCACTCTACAGGCAGTGCCCACCACCCAAGAATATCTGCACAGCAGCTAGAGCGGGACAGACATGCAGGGGCATGCCAGCAGCATGGAGCCTTGTAAGGAAATCACCAGGGAGGCAGGCAGAAGCATAGATTTGGGAGTGTGGGGGAATCTGGCTTTGATCCATGACACGGGCCTTTACAGTACACCATTGAAGCTCCCCACTGTTTTCCCAGAACTGCAGAGCCCTTTCTTCTCTGGGCATTGCTGACCAGTCTGGCTCCTGGAAAAAGTCAGAAAGTATGTTCTGAAGTTTGGATTTCCACTGGCTCTCTGCATCTAATAGGCTATCACTTAGAATTCTGCCCCCAGAAGATGGGCAGTGCCTGGAGGAAGTGGGAGGGGACAGCATGTAGGGCAGTATCCACAGCTGAGCTGTTCTTCGCTTGGGTTACAAGCGAATCTAGGCTGCCCTGAACTCTGGTACCAAATTCTACTTTCAAGGAGCTCAGTGCCATTAAACCTGTGGGTTACCTGGTCTCCCAAGGGCAAAACCCTATGGGCAAGGTCTATAGATCCTGTGTGATCCTCAGGCCAGCACCACCCACATGGCATTGCTATAGTTGCCTTCTCTCTTCACACGATTGTCCACACTTGGGCCAAGATGACAGCTGCCAATATGGAGTGGTTTGGAAAGGGTTCATATACCTCTGGGTTCCCACAGCTTGCCCTGAGGCCGGCATGTCCCCAGTTAGAATTCTTTTGGAGTAACAAAAAGGCCCTGTTAAGATCAGCTGTTGATTGGAGAAAGGTTTTGTGGCCCCTCCTACAGGAGGTGCTCCAGCTTCTCTGGCATAGCATTCAGCCACAACCTCTCCCGAAGGACCAAGAGGTTTTTCCTCCTGTGACCAAAGCCATGGACCCAATCTCTTTTATTGCCCTTCATTCTCCACTCTTGCTAGGCATTTCACACAGCATATTTTCAGCTGACCATCATGGGAAAAACTGCTTCAGTGGAGTGTATTTCCTAAGTGATTAAGTACAATAAAACCTACTCAAGAGGACAGTTACAGGTACAATTAAGAGAATTAGAGGTGTATAATCTCTTATCTGAAATCCCAAAGCTCCAAAACCTAAAAAAGGAAAAACAAAAACAAAACAAAAACCTAAGAACAAAACATAAAAGCAAAAAAATACCACATGTATAACATATTTGGCATCAAAGCTATTAAAATGATTTGAAGTTATTCATGATTTCTATCTCATTTAGGGTGATTATTACTATATTTTTCTGCCAAATTAGTATTTATTTATGGAGTGTTGGCCCAGACCCTGCTGGAAGTGGTAGCAAAATACATGGTATGTGACCCATATTATCTGGATCCAAGGATTCAGATAAGGAATTGGGAACATGTATAGTATGCTATTACGGGTGAAGAATAAACCATACCAAGGTATGAATAGCATTGCTCAGGAGATTATTTAGACTATGTTGAGAAAGTAGGCTATGACTCAGACCTGCTGAATTCGAATCCTAGTTTTACCATTTAGCAGCTGTGTGACCTTGTAAACATTGCCCAATCTCTCTATTCCTCCTGTTATGAACTGAATTGTTTCCACCCCAACATTTCTGCTTTGAGGTTCTAACTCCCAGCACCTCAGAATATGAGTGTATGGGGACACCTGGGTGGCTCAGTAGTTAAGCATCTGCCTTCAGCTCAGAGCGTGATCCTGAGGTCCTGGGATGGAGTCCCACATCGGGCTCTCCACAGGGGTCCTGCTTCTCCTTCTGCTTACGTTTCTGCCTCTGTCTGTGTACCTCTCATGAATAAATAAATAAAATCTTTTTTTAAAAAAAAGAATATGACTGTATGTGGAAAGAGGTAGTTAGATCAAAATGAGGTCATATGGGTAGTTTCTGATCCCATCTGACTGGTGTCCCATAAAAAAGAGGGGATTAAGGCATACAGAAGACACTGGGGATGCATGTGTACAAAGAAAAAGCCATCTGCAAGCCAAAGAGAAAGGCCTCAGGGGGAACCAAACTGTTTGACAGCCAGTTAGTTGCCTGACTGACAATGATCTTTGACTTCCAACCTCCAAGAGTGTGAGCCACTCAGTCTGTGGCATTTTGTATAGCAGACCTAGCAGACTAATACACCTCCCTTTTGTGGATGTTAATAATAGAACCTAACTGTAAGGGTTGTTGTGAGGATTGAATGAGCAAGAATATAAGAATAAAGTCCAATGACTGGCAGAGTAAGCACTCAATAAAAATTGGCTATTAATATGCTGAAACAAAGATTTACTTTTGTTTACTCACTGACTTATATTTTTAAAAAAATCACATTTACTCACTGAAGTATTAAAAAAAAAAAAGTATAAGCCTAGCTATTTCCCTTCCCTGAACTGCAGACCAAAGGCCTATTCAGCATTTCTATTTGGATGGCTAAAGGGTACTTCCCACAAACCTGCTCCTCCTCAGTCTTTCCACTGCAACCAGAAACTCCATCCTTCTGATCTCTCAGGCACCTTGGGGTCATCCTCAATTCCTCTTTTTCTCACATTTCACAGCCAATCTGTCAGTAAACCCCATTGGATGTGCCTTCAAAATGTATCCAAATTTTGACACTTCCATTACATCACTGCTACCCCAAGTTAGCATTATCCCTTGCCTGGATTAGTGCTACAACTGGCCTCCCTATCGCCTCTCTTGCCCATTAGAGCCTATTCTCGTCCCAGCAGGCAGAGCTGCTGTTAACACCCATACCAGAGGGTGTCATTCCCCTGCTCAAGACCATCCAATCAGGGCAGCCCTGGTGGCGCAGCGGTTTAGCGCCGCCTTCGGCCCGGCCCGGGGCGTGATCCTGGAGACCCCGGATGGAGTCCCACGTCGGGCTCTCTGCTTGGAGCCTGCTTCTCCCTCTGCCTCTCTCTCTCTCTCTCTCTCTCTCTCTCTTGAATAAATAAAATCTTAAAAAAAAAAAAAAAAGAAAAGACCATCCAATCGTTTCTCATCCTACTCAAAGTAAAAGCCAAAGTTTGTTGTGGCCTATAAGAGTGAGAATAATTGACTCCTGATTCTCTGGATTGTATCTCCTCCTCTCCTTCACTCTACTCCACCCAAATCAATCTCCTTGCTATTCCTCTAACCTGTATTTCAAGAAATACCAAAGGAAGTACTTCAGACTGAAGAGAAATGACTGTCAATTGGAAAGTAAGATCTACCAGAAGGAATGAAGAGCACCACTGGCAAACATGTGGGTAAATAGAAACAATTATTTTCTTAATTTATGTAAGAAGACAATTGACTATTTAAACATAAGTAATAACCATGTATTATGAGATTTTTGTAATACACACAGCTAAAGTAGATGATAATCATAGCCAAAGGATGGGAAAGGGTGATTGGAGGTAGAATGTTATAAGTCTCTCACATTATTTGTAAAGTGATATAATGTAGATCCAAAGTAGACTATATGAAGTTAAAGATGCTCATTGTAATCCCTACAGCAATCATTAAAGATAAAACAGACATCTGGCTACAAAGTGAAAGAGGCAACAAAATGGGATACTGTGAAGTAATCAATCCAGAAGAAAGCATAAAAGGAGGAGCAAAGAAACAATGAACATATGGACTAATAAAAATTAAGAGCAAAATGGGAGACACGAGCCTGACCATATCAATAATTGCATTAATTAAAAATGGACTAAGCATGCTAAGGCAGAACTTGTCAAACTAGTCTACAAAGTAAGAAGTAACTAGTTTGTTTATAAGAAATGTACTTTAAGGGATCCCTGGGTGGCGCAGCGGTTTGGCACCTGCCTTTGGCCCAGGGCGCGATCCTGGAGACCCGGGATCGAATCCCACGTCGGGCTCCCGGTGCTTGGAGCCTGCTTCTCCCTCTGCCTGTGTCTCTGCCTCTCTCTCTCTCTCACTGTGTGACTATCATAAATAAATAAAAATTAAAAAAAATAAAAAAAAAAAAAGAAATGTACTTTAAATAGTGAATGAAGTAAAGGCTATGACAGTAAAAGGATGTAAAAAGAGATACTACACAAACAGTAATCAGAGTAAGCTCATTGTATTAATATCAAACAAAATAAACTTTATTTTTAAAAAGATTTTATTAAAAAAATAAATAAAAAAATAAAAAGATTTTATTTATTATTTATTTGAAAGAGAGACAGAGAGAAAGTGTGCATGCAGAAACGGGAAGGGAGAGGAAGAAGGAGAAGCAGACTTCCTGTTGAGCAGGGAGCATGATGCAGGACTTGATCTCAGGGCCCAGAGATCACCACCTGAGCCAAAGGCAGATGCTTAACATATTGAGCCACCCAGGCAGCCCCAAAATAGACTTTAGGACAAGGAACATTCCCTAAGGTAAAGAGGAAGATTTCAGAAAGATTTCAGAAACATGAAAGAATCAGAGTGCCTAGGTGGCTCAGTACTGAGTCTGCTTCAGACTCTCTCTGCCCCTCTCTGCCCCTTTGTGTGCAGGCACGCTTTCTCTCTCTCAAAAATAAATATATAGGGACACCTGGGTGGCCCAGTTGGTTAAACGCCTGCTTTTGGCTTGGGTCATGATCCCAGGGCCCTGGGATTGAACCCAACTTTGGCATCACATCCAGGCTTCCTACTCAGTGGGGAGCCTGCTTCTCCCTCTCCCTTTGCCCCCGCCCCTTACTCATGCTTTCACTCACTTTCTCTCTCTCTCTCTCTCCCAAGCGAATGAATCTTTTAAAAATCTTTAAAATAATATAAATCTTTTTTTTTAATTTTTTTATTTATTTATGATAGGCCAGTGAGAGAGAGAGAGAGAGGCAGAGACATAGGCTGAGGGAGAAGCAGGCTCCATGCACCGGGAGCCCGACATGGGATTCGATTCGATCCCGCGTCTCCAGGATCGTGCCCTGGGCCAAAGGCAGGTGCTAAACCGCTGCGCCACCCAGGGATCCCCTAAAATAATATAAATCTTAAAAAAGATAAAAGGATCAATTCATCAAAAGAAATAACTATCCTAAATGTACATGCACCTAATAATAGAGCTTCGAAACACAGGAAGCAAAAGTTGACAGAACTAAAGGGACGAATAAACAATCCTTAATTATAGTAGATTTTAACATTCAGTAAAACCAATAGACAAAAGTACATCAGTAAGGATGTAGAAAACTTGAACAATACTATCAACCAACCTAATCTGACATTTATTGATCACTGTACCAGTAGCTTTAGAAGATATTTAGAGGATATTCTTTTTTTTAATATTTTATTTATTTATTCATGAGAGACAGAGAGAGAGAGAGGCAGAGACACAGGCAGAAGGAGAAGCAGGTTCCATGCAGGGACTCCAATGTGGGACTGGATCCCAGGACCCCAGGATCATGACCTGAGCTCAAGGCAGACGCTTAACCGCTGAGCCACCATGATATAGGTGTCCCATGATATAGATTCTTTTCAAGTATACATGGAACGTTCATCAAGATAATCCATATGCTGGGCCCCTAATATCTGGACATGCTAAGAACCTTTGTACTTTATTTCTCCCTACCACTGGAATCATTTTCCCTTCTACTATACACATGGCTTATTTCCTCACAACGTTTGTCTTTACTCAAACATCACTTTTGTAGGGGTCCTCCCCTGACTATCATATTTTATTTTGTACCACTTCTCAAGAGAAGCTCCTACTTTCCTATTTCATGGTCTCAAGGCTGTTATCTATCCTTGCATGCCAGATCTGAGTGTGCTTACTCTTCCCTGGCTTGAGTTTGAGGCCTGAGACCTCTGGAAGGTGTTGTCCAAACACTGCAGCTGGTCAAGACCAGTAGCAAAAACAGGTGCCAGATGCTTTATCATGGCCCTTTATACTTACTAGAAAGCCACAACTAGTGTGGAATATGTAATGAAGAGTTCAGGTGTCACTGAGGACTTGACTATGCAGCCAGGAGAACTAAAGAGTAAACAAGGAGAAGGTAGATAATGGATGGAGGCTAGAAAAGAGAGGAGCTGCCATCTTTATAAATTATTACCATAAACACTCTCCCTGTATTGAGGTCTCCTACCTCTGGGGGCTATTGGCCCTCCATCTCTCTCCTCCTCTGCTGGCATCTATTAGAGGCAAAAGACAAAGCGGCCAGATCCAACAGGTCCAAGGCAACATGCCAGGGCCTGTCCTCCTTGAACAATGGCTTCAGTTGAGCTGGGAGAAATGGGTGAAATCCACATAGTCCCTACCCTGAAGAGCTTATGGCTTAACTGGGATGGCAAAACAGACCCACAAAACATGTCATTTCAAAAGTGCATTGTCTCCAACCATCCATCCATATACATGCCCACGTCCTGGCCCAAGCCAACATTTAAAGAGTGCTGTGCTGGGTGCCTAGAACAGTGCTGCTCAAACCTTAATGAATTGCCTGGACTTCATATTACAATGCAAACCACACTCTGATTAGCAAGGCTGTAGAGAATTCAAAGATGAAAAAGACAAGGCTCCTGCCCTCATTTTACTTAAAATCCAAACAATATAGCACTAGAGAGAATGGGAGAAGTGCCATAAGAGAGGCACAGCTGAGAAGACAGCAGAGAAATTATTTCATTGGTTTCAACCAACCAAAAAGTGCAAGATTATGATAGATATTAAACCTCAAGCCACTAGGCAGATTTAATGTCTAAGGGCATTTGGCAAGATAGATAGCTGGGGTAGACAGAAACTCAGAGGAGTATGAATGATACCAACTTCTCTATGACCCAGGTGAATATGCTGTTGGTGACCCAGATGAATATGCCCATTCTGATGGAAGTTGCTGGAGGGGAAGACAGCACCATGGTGTCATGGCCAGTGTGTATGTTTTCCCATAGATAAAGACGGCCCAGGATCTGCTGCAGGAAGCTTCCAGGAAATGAGTGAGAAGTATGTCAGGAGAAGGTGTATGAGGACCCAGGTATGGACCCTTCCTGTAAAAGAAAATGCAAGCAGAGAGGACAGGGAGCCAGTGTGAGTATAACTCATTCTGGGTTAGTCTTGAATTTCTGTCATTTCTAAGCACAGAGCCGTGCTTGCTTCTTTGAAATTGGGCCTGCTTTGAGGGGTGCAGATTTTGGTACAACCTTAAGTCTAACCCCCACTATGGTGATGCAAGGCTAAGTCTGACATCAGGTTAATCACTATCTGTGCAGGGCAGGAACCATCACTGAATCATGGGATTTTAGGGCTGTAAGTTCCTTCCTCAGACACAATACCTCCCCTTTAACACCAAACTCACAATGAGGACACATACTTTCTGAAATAGCCCACACTTCTTCCCTTTCCCTGGAGCTGAGACTCCCTCTATGAGGATGGCTCCACACGTCCCAGAGAATCCTCCCTGGACCCCGCAACAAAGCATGAAGAATGAAGAGAAAAGAGGCTTGTCCTCTACTTGAGGTGGAGGGTCAGGGGTGAGGAGGTCTGGGTTGTCCACCTTGGAGCTGTTATCAGGGGACAGTTGCAGGATTGCATGCTTGGTGATTTAGCCTCTAGAGGCAGAACGAGCAGGAAGGCCCACTACTTGGTTGCTGAGAACAGTGGCAGTTAACCTTGACTGTTAACACAGCAGGATGGGTGGCCAGTGTGTTTGTGGGGGGAGGTCCAGTTGGTACCACCCCCAGTTAAGAAGGCATGTGCCCAGATTTGTGTAGGACAGCCTCAGCACATAATATATAACTGCTATGCAGGCAAAATTATTAAAAGTACCCCCTTTTCACTACCCATCACTACTACTGTTTTAGACAGTAATTTCTGTGGTCACCTGGTATAGCTCCTAGTCTCTGACAGCAAAGGCTGAAGGGTGGGGTTCCTGAGCCCCTGCCCTGGCCCCTTGGAGCCTTCCTTCTCTGCCCCTGCTCCATCCTGATTGTTCTGGACACACTTCTAGTACCCAGCACCAGAAAGAGTAGGGGTCTGGGCTTGAGACCCTGTGGGGAGCCTGGAAGGCTCAACCTGGCCTCCAGACAGAAGGGTAGAGAGAGGGCCAGGAAGCACTCTGGAGCTGATCCAAGGTGGAAGACAACACTGAGTTCCAGCCAGAGCTGTCCTGAAGCAGACAAAGCCCCTTGCTGGGGAGGAGCAGGGCTTGGGACTGGGCACTGATGTCCAGGATAGTTGCACATGGTATTAGACTTTTCCCTCCTGGGTGGGCCAAGAGACAGCAGGGGCTGTATAGTGGAGAACCAGGGAGCCAGGACACTACACCAAGCCAAGGTAATTAATTAATGATAATTATCACTACAATCACACTATCCATTAACTACTTATGTCATTGCAGGTTGACTTCTTATACGTGGGGACTGGTTCCAGCATAATTCACCAATAGTCCACTGAGGATGTCACATTCCAAGGAATTACATGCCAGACTTGTCTTCCCATGGGGCTCAATCTGGGCCTTTGCCTCTGAAGGAGTCATATTTTCCTCCTTCCATGACGGCTGATTCAACTCCCTCCTCCCTCTCATGACCCTGATTCAACTCTCTCTTCCCTTTCTCCATTATCACACGCTGCTCCCCAAGGTAGGAGGCAAACTCCATCCAAGCTCCAAATGTTCCTAGAGCCCAGGCATCCAGATGGTTCCTGGGCTTCAGGGAGGGACATCTCCACAGCAGGTGTGATGGAGCCAGAGCTAAAGGGTTTAGGGGTTAGCTAAGGGGGTGAGGCCTGGGGATGGTGCCTCTGCTCAGCTGAAGAGCCCTTCATTTAGCTCCTGGCAAATAATTAACAAGAGGGCCGAGCAGGCAAGCACCCCGAGGACTGTGCTCCCGAGAACTTTGTGGAGCAGAGCCACCATGCCTACCCTTAAGCAGTCACTTAAGAAAGCGATAGCCTCTATCCTGTTCAAACCATGCTTATTTTGAGTATCTGCCCACCACAACCAAACCTAATCCTGATTGTTAGAAGTATGTTAAGACTCCTGTTCACACTCCACTTATTTCCCCAAATGATTTGAGACAACTTATTGTAAATGATAAATAAATGATGGGAGCAAGCAAGCAAGGATAAGAAAATAAGAGGCATAAAATAAAAAATGGGGTGACAGTGTTTCCAGAAAAGGTGCATTGAAGAAATTACTGTAGCTGCATGCAACATTTCACATCTAACTTCCTGGCAGCCAAGTCAAATAAGGGATACCTGGTGACTTAATGTACCTCTCATTATCAGTGTGGGTGGTCAGGAGAACAAGGCTGTATCAGGGCTACCTCTGGCAAACTCTTTGTTTTCAATAGCTGATTCCACAACAAGGAAGTAAATTAAAAACGCTCATTGGAAGGTCGCCTGGATGGCTCAGTCAGTAGAGTATGTGACTTTTGATTTCTGGGTTGTGAGTTTGCACCCCACACTGGGTGTAGAGATTGCTTGAAAATGAAATCTTGGGGTGCCTGGGTGACTCAGTCAGTTAAGTGTCTGACTCTTGCTTTCAGCTCAGGTTATGATCTCAGGGTGATGGGATTGAGCCATGTGGTGGGGCTCTGCCCTCAACGGGAAGTCTGCTTTCACTCTCCCACTGCCTCTCCCCCTGCTTTCTCTCCCTCTCCCCCTCCTCTCTCTCCCCAAATAAATAAATAAATCTTGAAAAAATAAAATCTTGAAAAAACAAACAAACAAACAAATCTGCATTGGACGGTGTGCTACCTATAGCCCCCTTGTCCCATCTCATTCTCTATCTCCTCTTTTCTGGGAGTCCTAGAGGGACTACATCAACTTGTGCTCATGGTCTCTGACTTCCAGTTGGTTTGGCTATTGGGAGGCCCTAGGTAGGGGGTCACAAGATGGAAAGAGAGAGATATGTTGGAGGGTTTTTTCATCAGTGGTGTCAGTCCCTTTATCTTCAGCCTCATGTCTGGTCAGGCTCTTTCAGTGGTGTAATTCTCGATGGGTTCCAGGGACAACTCCAATCCTTTATCCCATCAGAAGCAGGTGTCACAGGGACACCTGTGTGGCTCAGTGGTCGAGCTTCTGCCTTTGGCTCAGGTCCTGATCCCAGGGTCCTGCATTGAGCTCCCCGTGGGGAGCCTGCTTCTCCCTCTGCCTGTGTCTCTGCCTCTCTCTGTGTTTCTCATGAATAAATAAATAAAATCTTAAAAGAAGAAGAAGAAGAAGGGATAGCAGCTTCCCATTTTTGCTAGTCCCTGAGTACTTCACCATCTTTTATTGGTCCCCTTTAAGCCTGTCCCTGCCCTGTACATTATCCCTCCATGAAATCTCACTTACAGCGTGTCACTGGTTTCTGCTAGGACCCTGACTGATTAACAGATGATGTCTCTGTTAGGAATGAATTCTGCTGCAAGTAACAGGAAGCCTGACAAATAGTGGCTTAAACAAGACAGGGCTTGTTTTTTCTTCTTCTTCACATAATGAGAAGTCTTGGGGTAGCAGTGCCAGGTTGGTGAGACAATTTTTTTTCCCTTTTTTAATGAAACCATCCATTTTCTTTTATTTCACCTCTCCTGAGCAAAAATAAAACAGAAAGTTATGCTCTTTACATTTTTCTTTTTTTTAAAGATTTTATTTATTTATTTTAGAGAGAAGGTGTGAGAGCACTAGTTGGCGGGGGAGGGGCAGTGGGAGAGGGAGAAGCAGATACTGAGTTGAGTAGGGAGCCTGGGAGCTCCATCTCAGGACCCTGAGATCATGACTGGAGCTGAAGGCAGACACTTAACCTACTGAGCCACCCAGGTGCCCCTCTTTACATTTTTCTTAAATCCAACAAAACTGTTAACAGGGTGAAGAGTCAACATACAAAGTAGTCAATGAAAATTATAGGAAGCCACTCTAAAAATATTAGTACAAATCCATTTGTGATTCACATTCTTGAGAACAAATGACTGGTGAAACTCAAAGATCAGTTCTTCATTCACCTTCAGCTTCCTGGCATCCATAGTAAGGTTAGAATTTTGGGGAGCTGATTGATGATCATGAGATGTGATAATATGGTCCCCCTTGGAATGGCACATTCATCAGCTTTCCCATGATTGCTTGCTTTTCCTTAGAACTGTTCTCCCTCCCAGGACAAACTGTGCAATGCTGCTATCACACAGCCAGGTTCTTCCTTCCTTTCCATTCTGCTTTCCCTTAGCATAGTGGCTTTTATCTCCTGCTTTCACTTCATGGTCACAAGAGGCTGCCCAGATCCAGATGTCACATCTCTAAGTTAGGAAGCAAGGCAAAAAGGGCCAGGCCAACTGTGTGTCTTTACCACCTCCATCCTCTCTAGACTTCTTTTTGGGCCACAGCCAGATCATATGGCCACTGTCATATACAAGGGAAGCTGAGAGACTGGGGAAAAGAATTACCATGACTGTGTTGAGAAATTTGTGAGCCACTGCTTGAGACAGGACACATCACCATTGCAGGAAATCATCTTGTTAGCAAAGGACAGCAAGAAGCGTTGGTGTTGGGTAAACCACGAATACTGCTGGCTGCAGTGAAGTTATTGGCCTGGGATGCCCCTGCGCCCAAGGTGACTGTGAATAGGTAACTGAGGCTGACAGTAGTGTTTGTGGTGAAAGATGAGGATGGGGATGGAAGGGAGTTAAAAATCCACTGTCCATAAGACAGTCTGGGGCTCTGCTTCCCCCTTCGGTGAGAGTCGTGGGGAGAAGCCCTGGACACAGTCAGAAAACTGCTCTGGGAAGTTCTCCACAGCCCTTCAGAGCTTCTCCCCGCCTCCATGGGGCCAAGCTGTACGCAGTACTTCTGTGCAATCACTGACTCCACCATACGTACTGTAGTTTCCTTTCCCAACCAGCTGTCTTCCCCCACTTGACAGGGGATGATTTGGGACAAGAGTCTCATCTTATTTATGACCCCACTGCCCGGTTAGTGCCTGGCATGCAATAGCCAATGCTCAATAAAGATTTGTTGGCAGGACGCCTGGGTGGCCCAGTGGTTGAGCATCTGCCTTTGGCTCAGGTTGTGATCCTGGGGTCCTGGGATCGAGTCCTGCACCAGGATCCTGTCAGGGAGTCTGCTTCTCCTTCTGCCTATGTCTCTGCCTCTCCCCCCCACCTCTGGTTTCTCATGAATAAATAAAAAAATATATTAAAAAAAATAAATACATAAAGATAAAAATATGCCAACTTAAAAAAAAATAGGATTTGTTGGCTGAATGATGAAGTGACAGATTGAAATAGAGGCATGGGAGTGGGGTGGTGCTCTGAGTCTTGCCCCCAGGATGCCATGTGACTTTGGGTAAATAAATTCTCTGAACCTTGGTTCCTCACCTGTCAACTGAGGGAGCTGCCCTGGAAGATCTCCAAGACTTCTCATTCTGACATTTGCTGATTTTTAACTCCCACCACAGAAGAAGGCCTACCTCAGGACTTGTTTCTTTGGATCAAGACATTAGCTATCCAGGTATCTCCCAACAAAATGCAGAGACACTACACGGGGGAAGTTATCAATATAAAAAGCCCACTGGCATTCCTGAGGAAAATTCTCTGGTGTTTACAATTCCCTGCTCTCAGAGAGAAGTGTCTGGGGACGGGTGCACAGGAGAGATAAGTTTTGATATGGATAGGAAACCAGCCCTGGTTTAGCGCCGCCTGCAGCCTGGGGCATGATCCTGGAGACCTGGGATCGAGTCCCACATCGGGCTCCCTGCATGGAGCCTGCTTCTCCCTCTGCCTGTGTCTGCCTGTGTCTCTGCCTCTCTCTCTCTCTGTGTGTGTCTCTATGAATAAATAAATAAAATCTTAAAAAAGAAAGAAAGAAAGAAAGAAAGAAAGAAAGAAAGAAAGAAAGAAAGAAAGCCAACCACCAGAGAAAATGTCAATTGCCTCTGTCTGCCTAGCAGGTAGAGCACAAGGAGCCAAGCTGTGGGTGGCAGCAGGACACAGTGGTGGGAATGGGCCTGATGGGAGGCCCCTCTGGGCAGCTGGTGGTAGTGATGCTGCCTAGAGCCCTTGGCCCTCCACTGTGACAGCCCATGGGACTATCCTCAGGGTCCTTTGCATGGCCTAAGCTGAACAGAAGAGGGAAGGGCCTATCTTCCATGCCTGCCAGATCCCCCTCCACCATGCCTGTGTGCAGAGTCAGACCCGATGCAAGCGGCATTCTTCCCAGGGCACCGACTTTTGTCTTTTTGCATAACCTGTCATGTTCTCTTCCCCCTCACAGATATTTTTGCCCTGAGTATAACAGCATTACTTTATTATTAATCACTCACCCTAAGTAATTAGCTTTTTTTAAATCCCAGATACATTGGATTAACCACAATCCTTGGTCTATGGCCCTCTCTCTTCTTTGATCCAGGCATGGCCCACCTTTGTGGTTATTTGTGTTTAGTTAATTATTTATTTCAAAATAATCTAAGATGCACCCGCGGGGGTGCTGGGTGGTTCAGTCGGTTAAGAGTCTGCCTTCGCCTCAGGTCATGATGCCAGGGCCCTGGGATGGAGCCCCACATCGGGCTCTCTGCTCAGCGGGGAGTTTACTTCTCCTTACCACTCTCCCTCTGTGCTGTCAAATAAATTAAAAAAAAAAAAGCACCCATGAACACTCAGGATTAGAACTAAAATATGGACAGAGCCATGTCTACCTATGAGTTCCTCCTATATCCTATTGCTTCTCCTTGCCACCCCACTACCCACCATTGATTTTCTAAAATTTGATTTCCAGGGCTTATAAAGTATCACAACTACTACAAGAGTTTCTTCTCTGGGAGCACACCTAGTCCTGATTTCTAACTGGCTGGACATGTTCATGCTCAGAGAGGCCTGAGCCTCAGTCAGTGACATGTGTTCACGGCATTGTGACCAGGGTGACCAACTTGCAGTGAAGTCACATTGCGCACAAATATTTTTCACATTGTTTTAAAATTTTACCTAAGTCAGGGTTTCTTAACCTTGGCACTACTGACATTTTGGTCTGGATCATTCTTTGTCATGAGGGGGCCATGCTGTCTGTTGTAGGATGTCTAGCAGCATACCTCTACCCACTAGATGCCAGCAGCACCCCTGCCCCTGCCCTCCTGGTTGTGACAGTCAAAAATGTCTCCTAGGGGAGGAGACAAAAATCAGTCCTATTGAAAGCCATCAATCTAAGCAAATATTTGGCAATATCAGTTCAACAAATTTTGTGGATCAAATGTCCTAAGAGAACATACATGCACATTTGTGCTGTCTACCTGCCTTGCTATGCATCCTTCCTGAAGCAGCAAATGGAACACCTGGGAGTTCATTAGAAAGGCAGAATCTCAGGCCAAACCTCAGTTCTGCTGCATCAAGATCTGCATTTCAACAGGATCCCCAGGTGATTCATGAAGTTTGAGGGGCTCTGCTGCAGAGACTACACGAATTCTGCTTCTCTGAAAAAAAGTGGGCCCAGACGCAGTGTTTCTCAGTGGGGGAAGTCACTGCCATTTTGGGTGGGATGATCCATTGTTGTGTGGGTTTGTCCCATGCTTTGCACAACATCCCTGCCCCATCCCTACTAAATGGCTACAGTGCTCCCCATCCTCTA